TCGGGACCATAAATTGCTATCATGGGATGGGTTGCATCTCCCAAGGTCTGGTCAAAATATGTTGGCCAAGAGATCATGAAAAGGACGGAGAAGAAAAACCTGAAGGAGAAAGAAAGGACGTTGCTATAATGGAGGGTTCTTTTAAACCCAGTTTTCGATGAAAAATAAAAATTCACGGGCCCTCTTTGTATGCACGCTGATGCTCAAGTGTGGGAAATGACCTTGGATTCCCGATAAGTCAAGGCAAATATGAGAGAATGGTTATAGTGTAGGGAGACTCCCAGGAGGGCAACAGGAAGAGTAATCTCTGCTCAAAAGGAAGGGATCAAAAGGAAGAAGTTGTGCATCTCGGATAAAAGAAGTGGAGAGAGAATAAAACAATGTTAATAAAACACTATTATCATTCAGGATGTGGAGGATGCTTTTCTGAAGGGGATCTGATCTCTTTGAAAGAGATAGAATAAGAATAAGAATAAGAATAAGAATAAGAATAGAATAGAATAGAATAGAATAGAATAGAATAGAATAGAATAGATACTTGAATGGAATGGAATGGAATAGGATAGGATAGAATAATGGAATGGAACAGAAAAATGAAGAATGGAATGGAATGGAATAGAATAGAATAGAATAGAATAGAATAGAATAGAATAGAATAGAATAGAATAGAATAGAATAGAATAGAATAGAATAGAACAATTGACCAGTGGAACAACCTGCTTCCAGAAGTTGTGAATGCTCCAACACTGGACATTTTTAAAAAGAGACTGGACAACAATTTGTCTGAAATGGTGTAGGGTTTCCTACCTGAGCAGGGGGTTGGACTAGAAGACCTCCAAGGTCCCTTCCAACACTGTTAGCAGTGTTCCTCCAAATTCCTTTATGGGGAAGTTAAGTATTAATACCACTTTACAAAGCCTTGGTAAGGCCACACTTGGAATACTGCATCCAGTTTTGGTCACCACGATGTAAAAAAGACGTTGAGACTCTAGAAAGAGTGCAGAGAAGAGCAACAAAGAGGATCAGTGGGCTGGAGGCTAAAACATATAAGGAACGGTGGCTGGAATTGGGTATGTCTAGTTTAACGAAGAGAAGGACCAGGGGGGACATGATAGCAGTCTTCCAGTATCTCAGGGGCTGCCCTAAAGAAGAGGCAGTCAAGCTGTTCTCCAAAGCGCCTGAAGGCAGGACAAGAAGCAACGGGTGGAAACTAACCAAAGAGAGAAGCAACCTGGAACTAAGGAGAAACTTCCTGATAGTTAGAACAATTAACCAGTGGAACCACCTGCCTCCAACAGGTGCTAACGGAATATTTTTTTTTTCTCTCGATTATCCAAAGCTCTCCCTTCTTACTGTACCTTGGCTAGGCGTTCTCCCAATCTCTTAGGAACTTCTCGTTCTTCTTCCTTGTCAATTTTATTGCCAAGCAAAAGGACAGGAATGTTCTCCCCGGCTGCCTCCTAAAAAATAAGGGAGAGCCATTGAAGGAGAGAGAATTGTCCTGCAGGAAAAGAGGAAGAAGCAAATTGGGGGGGGGGGAAGGACCAAATGCTGGAGAATTTAAATCAAAGCGGAACTTGCCTCGACGCTCACCATCCACTGCTTTACAGACACAAAGGTGTCTTGCGCGGTTACATCATACATCACAACGACACCGTCGGCTTTCCGGAAGAACTGCTTGGTGATGCTGCGATACCTGGAAATCAACGATTTTAGAACATCAGAAGATAAAGCAGCCATCATGCCCAGCCCTTCCCTGCTCAGTCCAAAATCCAAGTGAAAACATTCTAGACCTGATGTGATCTAGTCTATTCCGGGCTTGAACAGACCTAGCAAAGGGAAGCCCATTCTCGGTCAGGGGTTCAAATCGCTTTTACGGTTGAGAAAAGATCGAGGTTTCCCCTGTCCACGCGTGTCTGACTCTGTGGGGCAGTCCTCATCTTGGTTTCCTAGCCCAGGGAGTCAACACTGTCCAAAGACACTTCAACAACCTACCTCCAGAAGCTTTGAATGCTCCAACACAGGGAGTTTTTAAGAAGAGACTGGACAGCCATGTGTCTGAAATGGTATAGGGTTTCCTGCCTGAGCAGGGGGTGGGACTAAATGACCTCCAAGGTCCCTGCCAACTCTGTTATTCTATTCTATTGTGTTCTGTTCTATTCTATTCTAATTTCTCTTCTGTTCTGTATTTCTATTCTATTCTATATTTCTATTCTATTCTGTATTTCTGTTCTATTTTGTTCTGTTCTGTTCTATTTTATTCTATTCTGTATTTCTATTCTATTCTGTATTTTCATTCTATTCTATTCTGTATTTCTATTTTACTATTCTATATTTCTATTCTATTCTATATTTCTATTCTGTTCTGTTCTATATTTCTATTCTATTCTATTCCTTATTCCATTCTATTCTATTCTATATTTCTATTCTGTTCTGTTCTGTATTTCTATTCTATTCTATATTTCTATTGAATTCTATTCTGTATTTCTGTTCTATTCTGTTCTATTTTATTCTATTCTGTATTTCTATTCTATTCTATTCTGTATTTCTATTCTATTCTATTCTGTATTTCTATTCTATTCTATTCTATTCTGTATTTCTATTCTACTATTCTATTCTAGTCTATATTTCTATTCTATTCTATACTATTCTATTCTATATTTCTATTCTGTTCTGTTCTGTATTTCTATTCTATTCTATATTTCTATTGTATTCTATTCTGTATTTCTGTTCTATTCTGTTCTATTCTATTTTATTCTATTCTGTATTTCTATTCTATTCTATTCTGTATTTCTATTCCTAGTCCTATTCCTATTCCTATGGTTATGTGGCCAGGATGACTATACGCTGAGGGGCAAGGTACACTGTTACCTTCTCACCAAAGTGGTACCTATTTACCTACTCGCATTTGCATGCTTTCAAACTGCTGGGTGGACAGGAGCTGGGACAAGTAACAGGAGCTCGAACCTGGCCTCTCAGCTTTCCAGCTGACAAGCTCGGCGTCTTTAACCGCTAAGTCATCGCACCCCACTCTCTGTGGTTGTAACTGTTACAACGAAAGAGGTCCTAACCGATAAGCGTGCATGAGGTGTTCGGAGAGGAGTAGCACCTCTGGTGGAGGGACCTGCCGTGCCCATTCTAGGGCTGTTGATTCGCCGTTGGCTCTCACCTGGTGCTCAGCTCTCACCTGTGGCTCCGAGTAGTTGTAACGCCTGCAACAGCCACACCCCAGTAAACCGTCTCAGCAGACGGGTCGAAACAGGTGAGGGAAGCTGATGGATGTTTGTTTGGGTGATTTGCTGCTTACAAGGCCTTGGTTTCCTAGCTTGGTCTACCTTGAGGAGGGACACACCTTCCACAGGAATTGGGCTGAACTACACCTGACGGGTATTTCCTACCAAGATCACAGCCAGAAGATTACCTTTCTTGTCCAGCAGTGTCCCAGAGTTGCAGCACCACCTGGCTGCCTTCCAGGTTCACGGTTTTCATCGAATAATCCACACCTGTAGAAGACAAACACCTCCAATTGTATCGACCAATCAGAAGAGAGCTGGAAGGGACCTTGGAGGCCCCCTTGCTCAAGCAGGAGACCCTGTGCAACTTCAGACAAATGGCGTCAAGGCCCCAGGGATGGAGGACCCACAACTTCTGGAGGCAGGCTGTTCCGCAGACTGCTGTAAAGCGGTATAGAAGTGCTATTTTGCTATTTTCTTAGGATCGTGCAACATCTGACGCCAACCATCAGGAGAGAATTACCAGATGTTCAAGCCGGCATCGGAAGAACGTGCGGCACCATCTTGCAAATCTACGCTGGATCACGGAAAAAATCTCAAAAGTATTCCTGCTCTCGTTAAGGTTTGATTTCCCATCAACATTTGAAATGTCTTTGTCAGTCATGATTTTCTCCATGTTAATTACATTTACGTAGCTAAACGTTTTGTTCAGACCAATCCTCCTCTTATTTTGATATTTCCCATATCGAAAGGAAGGAAGGGAGGGAGGGAGGGAGGGAGGAAGGAAGGAAGGAAGAAAGAAAAAAGAAAGAAAGAAAGAAAGAAAGAAAGAAAGAAAGAAAGAAAGAAAGAAAGAAAGAAAGAAAGCTATTTTAATTCTAAATCACATCTTTCATTATAAAACTCTAATTGTATCTAAGGGTCATCTGTTCTTTTCATCTTATTCCAACCAAGAATTTAAACATAGAATGCCCCCTCGAAGAGGTCAAATCTTCTGTTTTTCACATCCAACTCTCGCTTTCTTTCTTTGCCAAGTACCTTTCCATGCCAGGGCAGTTAGATTGCCCAGGAATTTTCTTTCTATTTTTGTGAAATTTGCTGGACAGACGTAGATGCTCTTTGAATAATTTTGAGAGAGGAAAAAACCTCAAAAGTATTCAAAGAGCATCTCCATCTGCTTTGTTGACGACAGGAAAGCCTCTGATTGAGTCGATCACGGCAAGCTCTAGAGAAGACCAGAGGGCACCAAAAGATCTGGCCAACTTGGTGCTGTTGTTGTTACACAAATCAGGAAGCCATTGTGTGAACACCACATGGAGACACCGATTGGTTCAAGACAGAGAGAGGATTGTGGGATTCTTTCGCCACTTTTACTCAATCCGTACGTCCTAAGTCAGGGGTCTTCAAACTTGACTCTTGGCCATGACTTGTGGACTTCAACTCCCAGAATTTCTCAGTCAGGCACGCTGGAGTTGGTCCACAAGTCATAAAAGGCCAGGTTTGAAGACCCTGGGTCTAGAGCAGTGGTTCTCAACCTTTATAATGCCATGACCCTTTAACCGGTCGTAAGTTAAGGACTACTCAACTGGTGCAGCACCGTTTGCAGAATGGGACTTTTGGCGGGCTCAGCAGGGCAGAAACAGCCTGGACAATTCCTATTGGCTTTGGAAAGCCAATAGAATTAGACTCTATTCAAGAGAGTCTACTCTATTGGCTTTCAAAAGCCAATAGAATAAAAGGGAGTAGCACAGCTAAGGAAAAGGGGAA